CCACAGACTATAGGGTGAGACAGCAACACAAAAATTCTGCATTTTGAGTGAACTATTCCTCATTCCTTCTCTCCACCTACTATCAGCTACTGTATGTCATGTCTTCGTCATCCTAGGAAAAGAAATCTCAAAATACTACTGAATAATGTGCATCACATTATTTATAAGTGTGAATACCTATTCGCCTCTTTTCTTTTGTCCGCAGGACTGCCGTCAAGAACCACACAGGCAACAACAACGCCATTGAGCAGGAGTACGAGCAGCATTCTGATTCACAGGTTCATAATGTGTTGTATGCTTTTATTCTCTGCTCTAGTCTGAGTTAATTCCTGGAAAATGCAAGAGGAGGTTTATTTCCACAACAACAGCATGTAATATTTCTGCCACAATACCTGGGCAATAGAAGGTCCTATAGCTCACATGTGATTACATGTTAATACAATCCATTTTCTAAATACTTGAGAAGAAGAGAATGCAGGCTTTTTACAATGTAATACTGACATTTAACCACTAGAGGTCATTAACTTGTACACGAATAGTATGTAGATAATTTTTGCTTCTCTGTTATGCTGTTATGTTATGCTTTTACACAAAATACTGTATTTTATTGATGGTTAACAGCAGTTAGCCAACGTGCTAAAATGCTCACAATGAGAATGCTAACATGCTGATGTTTAGCAGGTATAATTTTTACTATGTTTTCTGATCTTAGTTTAGCGTGTTAGTGTAAATGGTAAATGGACCTGTACTTGTATAGAGCCTTTCTAGTCTTCCGACCACTCAAAGCGTGCCACATTAACCCTTTAACACACATTCACACACTAATGCTATCAGGAGCAATTTGGGGTTCAGTATCTTGCTCAAGGATACTTGACACGTGCCAGGAGGAGCCGGGGATCGAACCAACAACCTTCCGATTGGGGGACGACTGCCTCTGAGCCACAGCCTCTGAGCCACAGCCGCCGTGTGATGACATTTGTTCATTAATTAGCGACAGAAAGTACAGCTGAGGCTGATGGGAATGTCATTAGTTTTGCAGGTATTTGGCATTAATAGATGGTGATGCTAGATGAAAAGTTAGAGGATTGTCACAATTAGCCCTTACAGCTAATTCTGAGGCGGACATAAATGTTTGCACCAAATTTTGTGCTAATCCATCGAGCAGATGTTGAGATATTTCACCGTCACGATGGCGTTCATTGGAAATTATGAATATCTGCACCAAATTCCATTGTAATCAATCCAGTAGTTGTTGACATATTTTGACCTACAGACATTCCCAGAGCCACGCAGCTAAAAACACTGTTTAAAAAGTCCTAATAAATGTTGTTGCCATAATTGTGTTTTTTGGTATGTTATGTCATGTACATCAGAAATTCATTAAAATAATAAATAATAAAATGATTCAGAACCACACTACAGGCATACAGTAACTAATGTGCACATACATCATATTTTCACTTAAAACCCTTTAATGCAATACTAAAGTTTTATCACTGATGGGTGATATCATCCTGATAATACAATTGTCTTGTTCATGTGAATCGTCATGAAATATTTACAAGGAAAGAAAAGTATTTACAGTTTCCACCTAACCTAAGTGTCGTCTAAAGGAGGAACTTGGAGAAGTAAGAGATAAACAAACAACAACTGGAAATTTGTCAGGCCATTGTTCCACCCAGTCATAGTTATGAAAAACATTTTAGTAAACTGAAACAAAAATAAGAATTAAACAAATACTAACTTAAACAATATTGTGTATTTACAAAATGTACTAAAATAAAATAAGAATATGCAGGAAATTTCTTTAGTCGGTCAGTTTGGGCAAATTTGTCAACACAACAAGCATGAGGAGGCATTAGTGCATATGTTTGTGTGTTCATATTGTAATACCTATTCTAAACTTCTTACATCTTCTTCTTATACTTTATTTTATTTCCATAAAAACCCTAAAACTAAAACTGAAACTAAACACTAGTTGATTTACACATTTTTAAACAATACAAAACTATGATTTATTCAAATACTGTATACAAATTTGTGGTATTTAAGTATTTCTTTCTTTCGTTTAATACTATTTTACTTCTACTCCTCTACAATTCATTTACTACTTTACAGATTAAGATTTTATACAAAATATACATGCTTAGATGCATTGTTATAGATAAAACTATGTGTGACAATTGCTTACATGTTTAATGTTTCCATTAAATATTTATAATGTGAGAAACGAAAAATAACAAACGCTTTGTACTTTACTACACAACCTATATAACAGCATATAAACTACCTTAGCATAGGTTATAAAACTTGATGTAACAACTACATTACAGTACATTATTTTAACAGTTTCATACACATTTGATGCTTTAACACAGACTTACACCACAGTGGGCTCAGCAGAGCGTCCTGTGTCACAACAGAAAATACCCCTCAGGTTGTACTGTGTCGTTCGGTTCCTTCTGTAACAGATGTATACCACTACCACCACGAGGACGGCCAAAGCACATACAATCGCCGCTATAATGTATCCGATGTAGCTGACTGCAGAGGGTTGGGAGAGGGGTATGGGTAAAAGAAAAAAGGAAACATGAGACCAACATCAACAGCCACAATCTGCTTGCTTCATGATGTCAAACGTGTTCAGTGATTCACTTTCCTGCTAACTGTATGATTGTATTCCAAAAGATAACAAAGGTTACCTCAGGACCCAACAGTTCCCACCATGAGCAAGCACTTGGTGACAGTGCAGATGGAGGTTATATTCACAAACAAAGGGACATTTCCTCAGATACTGTAACAAACTGGGAGTGATGTGTTAGGAGTTACTGTTATGAGTCTTAAAGTTGTCCTCAGTGAGTCTGTATGTAGGCACGGTGGGGCTTTGAGCTAAATGCTAATGATGTTTAGCAGGAAGTATTTTAGCACTAAACACAAATCAGGCTAGTGGGAATGTTATTAATTTTACAGGTATTCCTAAAAAACAAAGAATTGGACTAATTTAAACATTGAACCTCATGATGGTGCTAGATGGAACTTTTTTTTTTATGGATCACAAAAGTTATTCAAATTCATCCTGAGAGCAAATTTGATTGCAATCCATCGAGTGGTTGTTGAGATGTTCAGTCTGGATTCGGTGACGAGCTGAGGGGATGGGGCTGTTTGAGCTGGAGTGAGTGGACTGGTCAGTGCATACAGTACTGTTTTGTTTTAGACTGTGTACTGTTGGTTAAAAAAAAAAAAATCAGCAAAGCCATATCTCGCATACATATATATATAATGCATTGTTATGTACTAAACTGTCAAACAGCATGCACAGGAATGGAAATTTACATTCAAGCAATTGTGTAATGTAATGCATCAGTAATTATAATCCAATATTAGAATAATATATTATATTATTCAGTTCAACTCAATTCAATTCA